ACCAAACTTGTTACAGTCCTTTTCTTAGTTTTTTGCCTTTCCAGGGCCCTGAAGAGACTGAGGGATGTGCGTGATGATCCATCCAGCTTCTCCAGTCACCACTGCACTTCAGATGACCCTAGAGAGCATGATGTGAAAACTCTAGGCTTGTTTTCTTGCTCAGAGAGAAGCTTTCTTGCTTAGAAGACTGTTGATACTTTATTATCAGGGACTCTCTCTTACTTTTTCTTTCCTGAGCTTCTTTATCCTAGAGTAGGCAGAACAGGTAAAAAAAAAAAAAAAAAAATCTAGGGGCGCTTGAGTGGCTCAGTTGGTTAAACATCGGACTCTTGGTTTTAGCTCAGGTCAGTATCTCAGGGTTGTGGGATCATGGGATGGAGAAGCTGTGTAGGGCTCTGTGCTAGGCGTGGAGCCTGCCTGAGATTCAGCCCCCATCCCCCACCCTGACTCATGCCTGTGTGCGAGCTCTCTCTCAAAAAAAATTAGTCTGTTTTGTATTTATTAATTTATTTTTAAGAGATTTTATTTATTTATTTTACAGAGAGAGCGAGTGAGCACAAGCAGGGGGAGCGGCAGGCGGAGGGAGAGGGGAGAAGCAGGCTCCCTGCCCAGCAAGGAGCCCAACATGGGGCTCCGTCCCAGGACCCTGGGATCAGGACCCGAGCCAAAGGCAGATGCTCAACCAACTGAGCCACCCAGGTGCCCCAAGTCTGTTTTGTATTTAATAGCTGTAGTTGAAAGGTAACTGAGAAGGAAGTTTACAGTGATGGTGTAAAAGGAAGGTTTTGAAATATCTGCATATTTTATTTTGTAAAATGTTCCCCGTTACCAGACTGTAAGTGGGACAATTTTTTTTTCCGAGTTTATTTTTTTAGTAATTTCTACACCCAACATGGGGCTGGAACTCACTACACCAAGATTAAGAGTCGCATGCCTTTCCACCTAAGCCAGACAGGTGCCCCAAGTGAGAAATTGATGAAAACAAGAGTGGCTTCAAAATCAGGAAGAATGATTTAATTTGTAAAAGGCAAACAACTGAAGGCTGAGAGTCAATCCTTGGCATTGTATCATCAGAGATCTATTCAGGATTTTGGGGACTAGGCTTCTTTCACTTAAGTGTTTGTTTACTGGGTGTCAATTATATGCTAGGCCCTGAGGATACAAAGTGAAAAGGCATTATCCAGGCCCTCAAAATGCTTTTATCTAGTTGGAGGAGATTGGATATTTGGATACCTCTAATGGAGGTATATTAAAACATAGTGGACAGAGTATTCCATCTGGGGGAGTTAGGAAAGGACTTCAGAGAAGTCATTCTTATCAAAGATAAGAGGAAGAGTTTGGTAACCCAGAAGGAGGGTAAGCTGAGTAAATTGTGGTTCTGGACTATGGAGACCCAAGAAAGAATGCTTTGGGGGAAGAGTCAAACAGAGAACACAGTAATGGAAGATGAGCCTGAATAAGTGAAGGCAGACCACTAAGAACCTTGACTGCCACTCTGGAATGTTACCACTTAGTGCCTGTACTTTTTTTTTTTTTTTAAGATTTTATTTATTTTTTTGAGAGAGAGAGAGAATGAGAGATAGAGAGCACGAGAGGGAAGAGGGTCAGAGGGAGAAGCAGACTCCCTGCTGAGCAGGGAGCCCGATGTGGGACTCGATCCCGGGACTCCAGGATCATGACCTGAGCCGAAGGCAGTCGCTCAACCAACTGAGCCACCCAGGCGCCCCTAGTGCCTGTGCTATTATGATTGATTTTGAAGTAAAACATCTCTCAAGTACCCATGTTGCTTTTTAAACACAGTCATGAGGAGTTATTTAAATGATTTCACGAATGGTTATCTAGACAAGACACTGGCATGTGTGGGATTTGAGAAACCTTGAAGTAAGTTATTCATTTTTTAAAAATTTATCTTAGTTTTGTTTAAAGAAATTTTGTTCAGGTTTTCACAGATGAATTGGACAAGATGGATCATGCCCATTTGTTCTCTTATCAGTAAGTAGACCTTTTTCTCAGTACCTAGGATAAAATCAAACTCTATTTCCCATTTCAAGGATAGACTAGCTTAGAACCATGGAAAAAAAACACAGGCTTTGGAACTAAACAGAACCATCATAGTTCAAGTATTTGAGCCTCAGTTTTCTCATCTGTAAAAGGGGATGGCAATTTAAATTAATTGAAAGGATTGAGTTAGACAATATGTATATACAGGAAACATTCAGAGGTAGGCTCTATGTTAGCTCCTCCCCCCACCCACCCCCATGCCCAGCAAGTTTAGGTGTGGTCTTTTGCTGAATACATTAAACAGCTGTTAGAATCTCCAGAGCTTGGTTTACAAAGATGACTAATGCAGTTTCTAACATCCAGGAAGTTTCTTCCCTTCTGTTTCTTCTTTACAGTTCCATCCCTTTTTGTTTCTTAAACTTTGCCTTAGGGACTAATCAGCTTGAAAGAATTAGTTAAAAATGCATATTCTCAAGCCTCACCCCAGAGAATCTGATTCACCGATTTACTACCGAGAGGGAGACTAGGAATCTACCTTTTTATTTTTTTATCTATTTATTTATTTGATAGATTTTCATTATTCCTATTTTATACATGAGGAAGCCCGGAGTTGTGTGTGTTTTTTTTTTAAGATTTTAATTATTTGTTTGAGAGAAAGCGAGAGTGAGAAAGCACACATGAGTGGGAGGAGGGGAGCCTGATGCGGGGCTGGATCCCAGGACCCTGGGATCATGACCTGAGCTGAAGGCAGCCACTAAACTGACTGAGCCACCCAGGCGCCCCGGAATCTGCTTTTTTAAACAAAGCAGCCAAGGGTTTGGATAGAGACTGTCTGACATTATATTTTGAGAAACTTTGGTCTAGGGAGAGATGCTATTGTAATGTAATTTGTAACGTAATGTGATGTTTTATATAAAGGTATACAAGAGTATGATGCCATGTGAGCTGTCCTAGAAGTTAGAGACTTTTTTTTCAGGAGCTAGAAGGGAACAATACAAAAACATTAAAAAAATTATACATATATAATTTTATTAAGCCCATTTTTATAAATGGTTATACCAGGCATGCTTTATTCATTTAAGAATCTATAGAAGACTTTTTGTGGGACTGTTCTGGACCGGAATCTGGCACTACAACTTATTAGCTTTGTGAGTTTGGGCCAGTTATTTCCCAACCTAAATTTCTTATAAAATACGTAACTTCTCTAGTACCAGTATTTTCCTTATGAGCATGACACAAAGAGGCAGAACGTTTAACTGACCTAGGCACCTAACACAGTAGGCATTTAACAATCACTTCACTTTCTTCAGGGCCTACGCAAAGGGGCAGAGGCCTATTTTAGGGGGATCCAGGCTTTATTATTTTTTTAAGATTTTATTTATTTATTTGACAGAGAGAGAGAAGAGCAGGGGGAGAGGGAGAAACAACGAGGGACTCGATCCCAGGGCCCTGAGATCATGACCTGAGCCGAAGGCAGATGCTTAACCGACTGAACCTCCCAGGAGCCCCAGGGGGATCCAGACTTTAAAGCAACAACACATCACTAAGTGCTGAATTGTAATTAATTTAGTGACAACATGTAAGATACAAGGGGCTACAGAGAATGAGTGACCTCCATGTCATTGACAAGTCACCGAGGCTGCCCCCACCAAAATCAGGAAAAAGGAGAGGTGGAATGGGAGGCCAGAAATTCAAGTGCCTCGGGAAAAACGTCCTTTAAGTTTGTAGTTACAAATGCAGGAACTCTTTATCTTGCCATCCTGCTTTATGCTTAGACGGTATTTACAATAAAGGGGAGAAACAGGAAGTGGCTTATAGGACATTGACCCTGGGAGGTTCTCCAATGTATTTTAGCCTCAAAGACCAACTCTTGAAAAGTTAACCCCACAAAAACTAAGTAGTTAGCACTTTTATCTGGGAGAAGTTAATAAAATGGCGTTTGCTGGTCTCACAAAGCCATGGCGAATTGTCAGCTCGGTATTAACTGTGTGAGCGTGTCGCCAGATTTCGTCGTGCACGCACCCACAGGGCTTACACCCACATTCAGAGGCATCCGCCCGCCTGCCCGCCCAACCCCGGGAAGGGTGAGACTTAAGAGGTATTTTTAAGAACGGGTAAGTGAAGGCTCAAACGAGCCCTGGTGGCGAGGTGAAACTGCGCAGCAACTGTCTTGGCTCTGACACTTGTTGAGCAGCAGGGCTCCACTGAAGCGTGCCACCTAATCACTGTAAAGACGTCCCCTGAGGAGGGCCAAAATGGCGACGGACTCCTCTTGGCACAGCCCTACTCCCTCCCCACAGGACCAGAGGCTCTAGTAGTGCCCATTGGCCAAGTTGGAGGCGGTGCCTGGCTTCCTTCGCCGCCTCATTGGACTGAGTGACTGAGGGAGACGCCAATTCTCCTCTGCCCACTCCAAAATCCCGCCCTCAGAGTCCATTCGGCATTTAATTGGCTTTTCATTCACGTCAATTTGCGTCCTATCGTGTCTTTTTTCAGTGTTAATCCAATCATAACTTTCTTGGCTGCCCGCCTGTTTTCTGATTGGTTTTGATCGGCTTCACCCTATCCCATTTCTGCCTACTTCTTACCACCTCCCACCAGGGACTTTGCCCAGGCATGTCCAGGGTTCTGGTTGGTCGTTGTTCTGTCATTCCAATCAAAGTTCTTCCTATCCCTACCGTTCAGGGAGCCCGCCTGGCGGTTAACTGGTTTCTTTCCAAGCCTATCATCACTAGCTCCCGCCCATCCTCACTTCCTGCGTCCTTCATTGGCTTTTAAAACTGAGAGGGCGGCCTCCTTGGGCGGACACCAGGCACGCAACTTTGTCTTACACGCCTTAGAAAGCAAGCGAGTCTTGTCATTGGATAACCTACCCGTCTTTCTTCTGCAAGTCCCTCCTTTCTCCCTCCCTCATTGGGCGGGGCAGCAGCGAAGGGGCGGAGCCTAGGCCGGGCTTGTGGCGCGCTGCTCCCTCCTCCTTACCCCCCCCCTCCCTGTCCGGTCCGGGTTCGCTTGCCTCGTCAGCGTCCGCGTTTTTCCCGGCCCCCCCCAACCCCCCCGGACAGGACCCCCTTGAGCTCGTCCCTCAGCTGCCACCATGAGCGGTAAGGATGAGTCCACTCCAAGCTTAGGGGTGGGAGGGGAATGAGGGGGCGCGCGCGAGGGCCGACCGGGCGGTCCCCGCCGTGAGGGGGGGCGGGCGGGAGGCGGCGGCGGCGGCCTTGGTCCCGCCCGGGGCGGAGGGAAGGGAGGGAGAAGGGGCAGTGGCGGGGCCTGCGAGAAAGAGGGGGATGGGCCGCCCGCCCCGGGGGAGGGGGCAGCGTGGCCTCGCCCGCCCCCTGCCCGCCCCGGCCACGGGGGACGGGCCTTACCCCCCACTATTCGGCCGCCCGCCTGAGGCTCCTCCCGCCGGGGGCTGGAGCCGCGGGGGCGGCCCGAGCAGTGCAGGCCCCGCCCGGGCCAACCGCCTCCCTGGTCCGCCCTCTGGTCGCCGCCTGCCCCAAGGCCCTCCCCTCCCCCCCGTAGGTTTCCCCTCCCCCCCACCGTCCCGCCCTTTCCACGCCCCTCACCCCGAAACCGCCCTTTCCCTCTAGGGCCCGCCCTCTGTCTGCCCCGAAACCTCCAGATTCCTAACCCCTGGACCCCTTTAGCCCCTTAGCAGTGTTCACAAATGTTTTCCCACTCACACTTTTTATTTGTTCTTTTCCCTTTATCCCTCTTCTCCTCTTGGTCCTTTTTACCCTTGAATTTCTGTTTCTCCATATCCTTTGACCCTAATTTTAGCAAGCTTTCCATCCACCCACATGTTGTTTTTTGCCTTACCTATCCTTTTTTCCCCCAGGATACTTTGTTGTATTTTGAAACTCTTTGAACATGTCCACCGCCCCTCACATTTCCTATGTGAAAAGTACATTTTTAATGTTTTCTGGGTTTAATTTTGTGCAAGGGAGAATTGAGGCCCAGTTTTAGCGCTACTGTGTTCTGTATGTCCTACAACTGCCCTTTCTCCACTCCACTTTTTTTTTTTACACTAGTGCCTTTCATCTTAATTATTTCTTTTTCATCATAGTGTCCTTTACTCCTTGTCACCTTACTCTTTTCCTTCCCCCAACTTTAAGTTGTTTATCTTTTAATTCTTTTTAGACCAAGATCACTCCATGGATGAAATGACAGCTGTGGTGAAGATTGAAAAAGGAGTTGGTGGCAATAATGGGGGCAGTGGTAATGGTGGTGGTGCCTTTTCCCAGGCTCGAAGCAGCAGCACAGGCAGTAGCAGCAGTGGAGGAGGAGGAGGGCAGGTAAGTGATGATCAGGACAGAGTGGGGGAGATGTTAAGAGAATGTGGCTATTCTTAGATGATTGTCTTTTCACAGAAACATTTTTAGGAAGGGGCTAAACCATTTTGTAGCTAGGGAAGTTAGCATAGTGAGACAAATGTTTGGGAGATCCCCAAGATGAGGGTTTCAGCTGTATAGATAGGTCAGCTATTTCTTTCTGTCATCCTTCCTTCTTTCCTTTCCTTTCTTAGTTTTCTTTCCTTTCTTTCTTTCCCTCTTTGTCTGCATTGTTTTGCTGTTTACTTGTTTTATACCGCCCCCTGGGCTGGCAGCTGGGTGTCACTAAACTAACTCTTATCCTCTCCCTTATTTTCTCGCCAGGAATCCCAGCCATCCCCTCTGGCTCTGCTGGCAGCAACTTGCAGCAGAATTGAGTCACCCAATGAAAACAGCAACAACTCCCAGGGCCCAAGCCAGTCAGGGGGCACAGGTGAGCTTGACCTCGCAGCCACACAGCTCTCACAGGGTGCCAATGGCTGGCAGATCATCTCTTCCTCCTCTGGGGCTACCCCTACCTCAAAGGAACAGAGTGGCAGCAGTACCAATGGCAGCAATGGCAGTGAGTCTTCCAAGAACCGCACGGTCTCTGGTGGGCAGTATGTTGTGGCTGCCACCTCCAATTTACAGAACCAGCAAGTCCTGACAGGATTACCTGGAGTGATGCCTAATATTCAGTATCAAGTAATCCCACAGTTCCAGACCGTTGATGGGCAGCAGCTGCAGTTCGCAGCCACTGGGGCCCAAGTGCAGCAGGATGGTTCTGGTCAGATACAGATCATACCAGGTGCAAACCAACAGATCATCACAAATCGAGGAAGTGGAGGCAACATCATTGCTGCTATGCCAAACCTACTCCAGCAGGCTGTTCCCCTCCAGGGCCTGACTAATAATGTACTCTCAGGACAGACGCAGTATGTGACCAATGTACCAGTGGCCCTGAATGGGAATATCACCTTGCTACCTGTCAACAGCGTTTCTGCAGCTACCTTGACTCCTAGCTCTCAGGCAGTCACTATCAGCAGCTCTGGGTCCCAGGAGAGTGGCTCACAGCCCTCCACCTCAGGGACTGCCATCAGTTCTGCCAGTTTGGTATCATCACAAGCCAGTTCCAGCTCCTTTTTCACCAATGCCAATAGCTACTCAACAACCACAACCACCAGCAACATGGGAATTATGAACTTTACCACCAGCGGATCAGCAGGGACCAACTCTCAAGGGCAGACACCCCAGAGGGTCAGTGGGCTACAGGGGTCTGATGCTCTAAACATCCAGCAGAACCAGACATCTGGAGGCTCTCTGCAAGCAAGTCAGCAAAAAGAGGGAGAGCAAAACCAGCAGACGCAGCAACAGCAACAAATTCTTATCCAGCCTCAGCTAGTTCAAGGGGGACAGGCTCTCCAGGCCCTTCAAGCGGCACCATTGTCAGGGCAAACCTTTACAACCCAAGCTATCTCCCAGGAAACCCTCCAGAATCTCCAGCTTCAGGCTGTTCCAAACTCTGGCCCCATCATCATCCGGACACCAACAGTGGGGCCCAATGGACAGGTCAGTTGGCAGACTCTTCAGCTGCAGAATCTCCAAGTTCAGAACCCACAGGCTCAGACAATCACCTTGGCCCCAATGCAGGGTGTTTCCTTGGGGCAGACCAGCAGCAGCAATACCACCCTTACGCCCATTGCCTCAGCTGCCTCCATCCCTACCGGCACAGTCACTGTGAATGCTGCTCAGCTCTCCTCCATGCCTGGCCTCCAGACCATTAACCTCAGTGCATTGGGTGCTTCAGGAATCCAGGTGCACCAGCTTCCAAGCCTGCCCTTGGCTATAGCAAACGCCCCAGGTAAGGCTTCCAATCTTTTACATTAATTTCCAGAGCTTACTAGCATCTTAACTGAAACTGTTGAGTCTAAGGAAGGAAATAGAGATTTTTGTGGGTAACAGTTTCTAGAGGGCAAGTCGATTAGAGAAATAGCAATGATTCTATTTAAGTCATTTGGAACCGACTTAACGGAAACTTTTTTTTCAGTTAATCTTACGAGAAAGGAGCATTTCTGGGCAATGTCCCTGGGGTCACTGTACTTCCAGTGCTTTTGGTGCTACAGAACAAGGGTCAGCAAACTTCTTCTATAAAGGGTCAGATAGTATTCTTTTTTGTTTGTCTTTTTACAACCCTTTAAAAATGTAAAACCATTCTTACCTCAAGAACTTTATTTGGCCTGCGGGCCCACCGCTTCATAGGATGAGAATTGATTATAAAGTTGACCTTTTTGTAGGACAGTTATTAAATAATCAGGTATTTCTTATGAACTGTAAGTCTTAAGTGAGGGAAAGGTGTTATAGTGGGTTCCAGAAGGATTTTTCAACGAGAAAAGTTACATAGTTAATCTTTAGTTTAGCTAGAATATCCTACTCTCTGAGCAAGCTGGTTAGTTAAGTTTTAATTTTTGTAAAGTTCTAGTTATTGGGGTGCCTGGGTGGCTCAGTCATTAAGCGTCTGCCTTTGGCTTAGGTCATGATCCCATGGTTCTGGGATCGAGCCCCGCATCGGGCTCCCTGCTCAGCGAGAAGCCTGCTTCTCCTTCTCCCACTCCCCCTGCTTGTGTTCCCTCTCTCGCTGTGTCTCTCTCTGTCAAATAAATAAATAAAATCTTAAAAAAAACCCCAAACTTCTAGTTATCTTAAAAGTGGAATCTGTCTGCATCCCCTTACACTAATGTATATTTTCAGTAAGCTTCCTAGGTGATTCTGGTACTTCGAGCTAGGAGAACCACTTCCTAGACTGCTTTTAAAGTAGCGTATGGTTAGGAAGAGAGGGGAGAGAAAGGGAGTAAGGCCTGAAATGGAGTGGGGAGGTGGAGTTGAGAGGAATTAGGAATAAGGAGAGCATTGAAGGGAAAGAGTCCTCAGGGAAGAGATATGTATTGGAATGTATGTTGAATCAGTTGACCACAATATTCAACTATTCATTTTGAGTAGTGTTTCACTGTTGTTAATTTGAGATATGTCCATTTAAAAAAGTGAAAGTCTATTTAGAATTTATTTTAAATTCTGTGGTGATGGAGCAATAAAGAGCACAAGATTGGGCGCCTGGGTGGCTCATATGGTTAAGCGTCTGCCTTCAGCCCAGGTCATGATCCCAGAGTCCTGGGATCGGGTCCCGCATTGGGCTCCCTGCTCGTTGGGAGCCTGCTTCTCCCTCTGCCTCTCTGTCTCTCTCTGTCTCTCATGAATAAAAAAACAAACAAACAAACTTAAACCTTTAAAAAAAAAAAAGAGCACAAGATTTTTTTCAAGATTTATTTATTTGGGGGGGGGGGCAGAAGGAGAGGGAAACCCAAGCCAACTCCACGCTTAGTGTAGAGTCCAACGCTGGGCTCAGTCTCATGACCCTGAGATCAGACCTGAGCCAAAATCAAGATTGGACTTTTTTTTTTTTAAGATTTTATTTTATTTTTTTAAAGATTTTATTTATTTGTTTGAAAGAGAGAGAGAGAGCTCACATGAGAGGGGGGAGGGTCAGAGGGAGAAGCAGACTCCCTGCCGAGCAGGGAGCCTGATGCGGGACTCGATCCCGGGACTCCAGGATCATGACCTGAGCCGAAGGCAGTCGCTTCCTGAGCCACCCAGGCGCCCAAGATTTTATTTATTTTTGACAGAGAGAGTGTACAAACAGGGGAAGCAGCAGCAGAGGGAGAGGGAGAAGCAGGCGTCCTGCTGAGCAGGGAGCCCGAAGCAGGGCTCGATCCCAGGTCCCTGGGATCATGACCTGAGCTGAAGGCAGACGCTTAACCGTTTGAGCCACACAGGCGCCCCAAGAATTGGACATTTTAACCCACTGCGCCACCCAGGTTACTATAGATTTTTGATATTCTGGCATGATATATAAAAATTATGGTGGGAAATAGTTTAATATCACCAAACTTAGTTTTATTGGAATATATGTGAGTTTATGAATTGTTTACTTTTATTGTAGAGTTCTCATTTCATTTAGACTGGTTCTTACATAAAAGAGGATAACAGGGGTGCCTGGGTGGCTCAGTTGTTAAGCGTCTGCCTTCAGCTCAGGTCATGATCCCGGGGTCCTGGGATCGAGCCCCATATCGGGGCTCCCTGCTCCACGAGAAGCCTGCTTCTCCCTCTCCCACCCCCTCTGCTTGTGTTCCCTCTCTCGCTGTGCCTCTGTCAAATAAATAAATAAAATCTTAAAAAAAAAAGGATAACAAATAGATGACCATATTTCCTGCCTCCTGCAGTTTTGGAAAATGGTGGGCGGGAGGTCTGCTCAGGTTCCTTAACTTTCTTACATTTTTTTTTTTTAAGATTTTATTTATCCATTTGACAGGGACACAGCAAGAGAGGGAACACAAGCAGGGGGAGGGGGAGAGGGGGAAGCAGGCTTCCCGCAGAGTGGGGAGCCCGATGCGGGGCTCGATCCCAGGACCCTGGGATCGTGACCTGAGCCAAAGGCAGACGTTTAATGACTGAGCCACCCAGGCGCCCCACATTTTTTTGTTGTTGTTGTTAAGATTTTATTTATTAGAAAAAGAGAGAGGTTGAGAGAGAGAAAGAGAGGTCATGAGCGGGGGTGGGGGGTAGAGGGAGAAGCAGACTCCCCACCGAACAGGGAGCCTGATGCGGCACTCCATCTTAGCACTCTGGGATCATGACCAGAGCTGAAGGCAGATGCTTAACTGACTGAGCCGCCTAGGCGCCCACTTTCTTACGTTTTTGAGGTGTATTTAAAATGACTACATTTTGAGCCTTAACAAGACAACAGTTTTCTTAATGAATCAGGAGATCTTGGAATAGAAAGAGCTGGAAGGGACCTAAGAATTCATCTAGTACAACTGCCTTATTTTCTAGGTGAGGACATTGACTTACAGAGAAGCAGTTGAGTGAGTGGTGAGACTACATACAAGTCAGAGCTAGGGCTTGTAATTAGTTCTCCTAGTGTAAGGCATTACCTATTAGTTTTAACTTAGGATGTGAGAAATCCTTTAGATTGTTAAAAATGTTTTAGAGAAGATATCTTTGCTTCTTTGAAGTTTACTGCTCTAGATGTGGCAAGTGTTTCATAGGCTAAAACTTACGACGGTAGAAGTGGGAAAAGTTAATGAAAACTAAACAGCAGCCTGGAAAATTAGACACTTGCTACACTAGCATGTTTGTTTTCTCTTTGCTCTTGGGTTGTATCCAGCAGTTTGCTCTTCCTCAAAGGAAAGCAAAGCTGTGGGATTGTTCCATTTAGTAATAATTTGGATCCTTGCAAATTTCTAAAGAGGTTTAGAACTTAGGCTTTAGAGAACAGTTATTAGGCACTCTCATTGCTAAATCATGCTCTGGGGAAGTCTGCCATTTAATATGTCATAGGATAGGGCTACCTAGCTATTATGGATGGTCTCAGAGCTCAAGAAATTGCATGCCTTTCTGTGAAGTAGCAGCAGCTTGACCTTCACTAATGAGAGAATGAGTTTCTGAAAGGCCATTTTGTGAGTTGAGATTGGTTGCCTCATTAATAGTGGTTTCCGTAGAGAAAAGTTTCCTCCTTTCTGGTTGGTCATACTTGTGCGACATTTTTCCCCCTTCAATTGGTCAACTTTATCCTTAATGAAAGATAATAAAATCATTTCCTAGAAGCTTTAGTGCTGTTCATCTGTTGCCTGGCTGCTAAAAAATGTCTCATTTTACCCCCTTTTCTGGTATATAGTAATTTTACTGGAAACACTCAATCTCTTGGCAGTATAATATTGTAGAAAGAGCCTTGGATATGAAATCTTCTGTAGATAACTGGATAGACACATAGCACTCTACAAAGTGAGACATTATTACATGGTTGTGGAAGACTGCAACTTCCATGGTGTTCACTTAGTCTATTTATATTTATTATTTTTAAAAACCATCTTTTAGAAATTGTTTAAGCTCTCCTGTTGACTTTCAGGGTTTATTTCTGTTTGCTGAATACACAGGCAAAGGCACAAACTTAGAACCAAAGTAAGCCAGCCATCTTAGTATCCTGTGTTTTTTATGGCTCAGCCCCTGGTGGGTGGTAGTGAGGAAGGGACCACCCAGTAAACTGAGTTTAGTTTCCAGACAGTGAAATGATCTATGGGCTCTGAGGTTTTTGTTTGTTTGTTTGTTTGTTTGTTTTATCAGCAGCTTTTTTTGTCTTGTTCTTTGTTTTTAAATCAACACTGTTTCCCAGTTATCAGCACCCTTTCCTCTCATTTTGTAGTTAGACTCTCACAGATCTTGTTTTTTTCCAGTTTAAAGCTTCAGGTTTTTTCTCAGACACTGCTGTGTCCTGAAAACTCTTCCACCAGGTTGACGGGGGGCCAGCTTTGAAAGACAAGTTTGTGTGACTTCGTGGGAGTTCTGCCTAATAAAGAGTTCAGGGCTAGTCTTTGGCAGGAGAATAGAACATATTTCCTTGATGGCTATAATTCACTCAAGCAAATTTCAGGCACTAAAAATAAAAAAATTCACATCTGCTTGGTTTTATCGAGGTCAGGAAAATGTCTTCTCTTAGAAGTTAAGTCGAATGTGATACCAGAGTTAGTTTGCCAACAGTGTCGCTAAACTTGGGGTCAGATTGCTGAGACCTAATTTATTAAAAAGTTGTATTTTAGACTAGGGTATTTGAACACTAGTGACAAGTAGGTTTAGATGATTTAAATGTGTTCAGAATTATTCTTTTGCAAAAGATCATTTGAGAGAATTTTCTCTTTTAAAATAATATACTTTATCAGATACAATGTCAAATGTTTCTGCATCATTTGCCTTTTTAATCTAATATTTGTTTCTGAAGGTGATATTAGTGCTTTTAACTGATTTCAATTTAAG